CATTCAAGAGAAAATTGGGCAACCATCTCTCAGATCTGCTTTGATTTGGATTCCTGTATTGTCATCTAATGACACCTTTAAGTATAATCTTGTCTAAGTTTTCACAGGTTGTAGTTTAAGTCTTCAGATGCACCATAAAATGTACCATGCAACTGAAAAAGTGGATTCTAGTCCTTTAAAGTATATGCCCGATAAACATTGGTTGTCTTTAAGGTGCTACAGGATGCTTGGCTGGCTTTTTCCCGCCTATAACAATTTAGTTCATGCTTGGGTTAGTTTTGCTACAGACTACAAGGTTACATACAGGGATGTGGTGGCACTGTAGGTTAAACCGCTGAAGCCTCTGTGCTACAAGGTCAAAAGACCTGCAATCGTAAGATCGAATCGATGCAACAGAGTGAGCCCCTGTCGCTTGTCCCAGCTCCCATCAACCTAGCGGTTCGAAAGCATGCAAAATGCAAAAATGCGAGTAGATAAATAGGTACCACCTCAGTGGGAAAGCAAACACTGTGTCTAGTCATGCTGGCCACATGACCACGGAGGATTGTCTGTGGACAAAACGCTAGCTCTACGGCTTGGAAACGGAGATGGGCACCGCCGCCTATAGTCGGATATGACTGGACAAATTGTCAAGGGGAACCTTTACCTTTACCTTTTTACAAGGTTACATAGTTATCCCTGTGAACAACTAGTGCACATCCAAATGTATCATCATGAAGAAGCTTTTAGCTTACTCCACTGAATGTAAATAAATATTAGTCATGGGCACCTCTATTCTCTAGTGCACCACTAATGCTTATGTGGACTGCAAAGCAATTCAAGCCTGAAAGTTCAATAAATATATAGTGTGCTAGTGGCACAATTTAACCAAGGCCTTATTAGAGTGGATAAGAATAATGATCTCCTTGACAGCATTTATACAGTCTCTGGAACATATGACAAATGTATTTACACTTTCCAGAAATGCTTGCTGCATTAATTTTCTGCAGCAAAAATGGTCTCATGATCCCACTTTCTTGGACATATTCCATTTTATTGGCTGCAAGACAAATCCACTGTGTGCCTCGGAATATACACATTTTTCTTCCAAGAAAGGACACATACACCTGTCTCTAAACTTTCCTTTACCCTACAGCTTCAGAACCTTACATTAGCCTGTGGGAAGAACTACGAAGGTAGACTTAGTGGCTTTCCATTAACTGGCCCTCTAGTGGTTGCAAGATATGGAAATACAGTAACACTCAAGGAACACACAATTTAAAAAAAATGATGCACAAATAAAACAATGTTTGAGAGCCTAGGGCAGTGATGATGCATGTGGACCAGGGTGACTAATTACACATAAACAACAGGACACTTACATAAAATTGCACATTTTCTTACACATACAAGACACAAACCTAGAAATGATTTTTATTATTGAAACAATTTAAAAAAAACATCTGAGCAAACAGGTCTGTGAACAGTTGACATGTGTGTCTGCTGAGACTTACCATGAATGGGTCCTTGATTCTCTTCTCATGGTTCATCACAGTGAATGGCTGGTTGCTTACCTTTGGTGCAAGCGTTGTTTTTCAAGCGGTCATCTGTGTATGTGTGCATAAAGCCAGTCTTCCGAACCTTCCATTGCTGAGCTCCTTCCTTCTGTTTTGGCAGGACTCTCACCCACCCTCTCTATCGTGCTTTTACTGTACAAGCCCGGCAGCCTATTCTCGGTTCCAGTCTGCCAGAAAGGAAAGGCATTGGGAGGAGGTGGCAGGATGTGTGACTCCACTGATGACCTCCTGAAGAAACAGTTATTCCAAAGGCAAAATATCCAGCAGTGTCCTCTTGGATGAGGTAGGAATTCTCAATGCGTTTTGCTGTAGGAGACAATGAGGAAAGTAGTCCGGGACTGTTGCTCACGGAAGGAAAAAGGAAGGAGAGGCAATAGCACAGGTGTGGCAGACTGCTGCTGGACCTTGGCTAATACAGAATCATTAATTGTAGGTGACAGCTCTTTGATGTTGATCCCGAGGGACTTCATCATGCAGAGGACCTGATCGGTGGAAGGCTGATGGTCCTTGGATGAAGACATTGATGCTGTCTCCCTCACAATGATCTTTGATGAGGATACACACGGTTTACTTTTACATTGTTAAAAATGAAATATTTCGCCTCTGTCAATTAAGTCAATATTTACGTAGCTGTATCTTTGGGGTTATTCCCCTCGCGATAAGTGTTTGCTGCTGGCATTGGTTAATGTCTTCCATCTGTCTTTGTCATCTCCTTAGATGTAAAAACTTTGTGCCGTAATAGAAATCAACTTGATTTGATTCTAAATGGCTTTTAATATTTTATTGTACAATATTGTAATGGATTATATTATATTGTTTATATTGTTATATCTGATGTATGTTGCAATGGCCTGTGTGCCACGCAATACACTTACTTTGCTTGCTTGCCCTATTTCCACAACGGGGGGACATTGCTGTCGTCAGAGTTGTTCCGTGGAGCACCCCTCAGGGCCATGGAGGATTCAAGACAAAATGGACCAGAAAGGCCATGGGTACTGAAGCAGGAGAGGCTGTCAACACCACCACCAGAGGTGGGCCCATGAAACACACACCAGGAAGAGGTTGAGATTTAACAGTAAATGGTGTGAAAGATATTTGGTACACTGGTAAAACTGAAGCAGTTTGGCAGAGGGTGATCAACACACCTTGGCAACGGTGCAGCCAAGGCGTGTGCAAGCAGATCCAGTCTGAGTGCACAGGGTGGGGAATGGAATCACTGCTGATAGCAAGGAGGGAGAGTGGCAATGTGAGAATGGTGAGAGTGTGTGTGGTACTAGGGTACTAATAATGAGAATGGTTATAGTGATGGCATGGAGACCTATCCCAAAGTGAGGAGAGTGATAGGTGGAGTGATCACAGGAAGGTATCTGAGTGGGAAGTCTGGTGAATATGCATGGTAAGTACATGCAGGGGATTTAGATCACAAATGAGATGGAAAATGATCCAAGTGCACCCCATAGTGAGAGACATCCAAAGGTGGCGAGAGATAGATATCATGGGGCATAGCCGATAGGTGATGGTGTTGCTGATCTTGGTCAGGTGAGTGTGGCTGGTTTGAGGATGGATGGATTGGGCCTCTTGAATTGTACTGGATATGATAACTTTCCAGCCAATGGGGATGATACATGGCAATGGACAGGCCTGCAAGAGTAGTAGCAGAATCTCCAAAGCAGCATAGGATGCCAGTGGCTGTTGAGTGAGGAAACCTTGTCGGACCACATCAGTATATGATACAGTAGGAAAGTCAGTATCAAAAAGCAATGTTGAGGATGGAACAAGGCCCAGGGCCTGTGCTGACAACTGATATGTTGTAGACAAAACAGAATTTGAAGGTGGAGGAGGACTAAGGGTTGGTGCCAAGGAAGTTAAAACAGGACCAGTTGGAGTCAGTATAGAAACTACCATGAAGAGAGTTAGTGGCAGAAGAGAATGAGAAGATTCTGATCTTGGATGAGTAGGTAACAGCAAGATAACTGGGCATGGTTGTCTGTGCTTGGAGTGCTTATCCACCTTATCTTTGGCCTTCTTGGGCTCTTTAGCCTCTGAAAGGAGGGTGCTTCAAGGAAGCATACTGGAAACCATGGCTCTCTGATGACTGAAATGGGAAGGGTGGTAGAGAAATGATCTTGCTCCAGGTCAGCATGGGCACAAGTGAGGTGGCAGGGAACATGGCATGTTCCCTACCTTTGAGAAGATACACTGGAAAAAAAATCTGGTAGAAACACAACCGTCTAGGTAACAGACTTAAATAGCTTCTTCCTATTATTTCACTGCAGAGGTCCCAGAATTTGAGCAAAGGATGGTGGATAAGTACTAGCAACTTTTTGAACTACTTCTGCCCATACCCTTACAACAAAACATACATCCCACATTCGCACATCTCAGAAGAAACGAAGCAATACAGCTATTTTTGTGATTATAATTTTTTTCTGGAATGGTTATTTTTCCAAATTCATATTCAAATTGTTTTATGTCTTTTTTTAGAAGTTTAAACCATTCCATATTATCTCTTTATTGCAAAAAGTCAACATGCATCTTAGAAATTCAGAGTGTAATCAATAAAACAAACATTACATGTATGAATTTAAATGTATAAACAGTTAGAAATCCAACAATATCTCCTAATATACTATTACACAAGTTCACAATCTTGTAAAAACTATAATACAAGTTTACTATACACTGAGAGGAATTTAATATTCCTTTTCACATGATTTTGTTAAGAACTGTTGAAGCATCTCCACTGTAGGTGAATATACATTTTTCAAAACAATTTTGGGATGCTTTTTTTTTAATCCTCAAGGATTTTAAAAAATAAAACAAAGAGATTTCACACCACTGTTAAACTGACAATTTATATAGCAGTAGCATTAATATCTGTAAAGCTCTGAGGGCGTGATTCACTGACCATTTACAATGTGGCATTCTTCTGGATTTCAATGGGATTTCACACTGCTTAAGTAGTCAGTGAGGTGCACTCCACATGTGGTAACATTTTATTTTAGATCAATTTAGAGTTCTCAAGTCACTTGGTAGGTACATATTTATATTATTACGCTTGTCAGTTATGGCTTATGAATGTGAAAGTGACAATTTCACAGCTATCAGAAATAAAGTGTTACCAGAAATCAACTACCTAGTAACACGGAAGGTGTCCTACTAAGTTCTAATGCACAACACAGGGAGATCCATAGCCATGTCAAAATCAAGGTCACTTTAAACTAGTTTCCTTTTTCCCTTTGTAGTAAATAAGTTACCACTATGCTGCCCATCACTTATATTCTCACTAACACAATCGTATGCTTTCAGTACATGAGCTGAGGAGCACCAACTTGGTTTATGCTTCTGGGCTGAAAAATCATATTAGGGTGTCAGTAGAGGATTTATGTAAGTCAACAAACATTAAAAGAAAAAAGAAAAGAAAAGAAGGAAGAATTTAAAAAAAAAAACCCTCATTGAACAAAACATTTCCCTATTGGCCCTTATATATCTCTCTCCATGGGGGAAAAATCCAGAGGACAGTCATCCTGGTCTAAACAGAATGCTAACAAAATGTTATTTAAAACCATATGAAAAGGAATCCCATCTGTTCTAACTATGCTAAAGGCTATGGAAATCTCTCTTACAGCTTCACTCACTCACTGTAATCTTCCAATACAAAAATACAAGAATTTTTATGGAAATCTAGATGCTGGTAGTTTCAGTACACAAAAAGCAAAATATTTACAAAATTACAGTTCTTTAAAAAACCCTGTACAATATATATTTACACGCACACACACATATATATAAATCCTTTGTTCCCTCTGTCATTTGATTGAACTATCCAGATTCCAAAGCATTCTGCTGTGATGAGTTGATGCATCTGATGGCTACATACTGAGCCACAGGGGTTCCAATATATGTTACAGGAAATGAAAGAGCAAGGCTTTGCCTGTTAGGATGTGCAATGTTCATGCTTTTTTCCTTATAACTTAACTCTGTTGGATTCAACATTACTAGGAATGTAGCAATAATCTAGAAAACCAAGGCTGTCATGTAAAGGGGAAAATTGCTGTCAGATTACACTTCTCTTCAAGTTTACCTGGAACATAAATTGCTTATGATTTGGACTTTACATACTACTATATGGATACTGAGTAAACTGTACTCAAAATGAAGAGGAACACTTCATGTTGCGAGCCAAAGCTTAATTGATTTAGGGCTTTTGATATGTAGGGTGGATCTAGTAGCAGGTGTAGTGACATATTTGAATACAGGACTTCTAAAAAAAGATGTAATTAATGTTTCTATTTGTCTGCACTATTGTTTTAGTACCACAGAAATTAATACAGTAAAATCTCTCTTATTTCTTTGACCTTTACATTCAGAATGCACTAGCTTAACATCTTTCTTTATATAATATGGTACTCATTTCTACTGAGTACAGTACAGAGGCACTAAAAATGAAGGTAATGACACAGGATAATGTGCTTAGGCTTAACAACAGGAACAGACCACACAAGTTAAGAATATCTATTGCCCTGTCAAAGCTGAATTATATTAACAAGTTTTCCCCACAATCTATATCAGTTACCATGTGGTGCTTTTTAAAAAGATGTATGTGCAGGAGAAATCCAAAAGCATGCAGAAAAAAGGCATCCGAGTAAGCCAAAGTCTCGTAATTCCCTCTCCTGCATAACATTCATTTTATAAAACTTGCTTTGTTTGGAGTTAAGCGCTGTATCACTCCAAGCTCTGATTCAGTATTTATTTTAAAACTGGATTATTTTAGATTTGCGACTTCTTGGGCTAAAGGAAAAATAAGTTAAATGAAATACTGTATAAGCCTAAAAAATTAAAAAGATATCAACCAGTAAAGGAGAAGGAGGTATAATGGACAGCTACTTTGGAAGGGCTAACACACATTCACCACTGTTGGTTGCTCTTCAAGCCTCACTGTGTATTCATTTTTAATATAAATTGTGTATGAGGCTCATATATGTTCCACTGCAATAAATGTGGAATGCACAGCAACAGTTGGTGAACTGCACTCAAGGAATAAACAAAAAGGTCTGTCTGTGGATTGATAGTCATCGAAATATTGTGACAGGACGTTACCATCAGTGCTGTTAGAGAGTAAGTTCTGCTAGATAGCCTATCTCAAATAGAGGAATGTAGGAAAACTTATGTCTTCTACATACTTGTCAAATTCTTGATAATCTGAGAAGTTAAAGTTACACAACCAATTAATTGATTTATCCCTAATGAAGGGATTTCTTAATCAGAAAATTCAATCCATGTTGCTATTCAAAGGAATGTCACATAGAGTTTTCATCTTGGATTCCACAGTAGTATATAAAGCCTTTTTTGTCACTGACAATATACTAATCGTATTTTAAAAAAGGAATTAATACAAACTGGGTTAGAAAGACTGGTGCATATCATCTGTAGAGGATCAAGTCACCTTCACAACTCTGTGAAAGCTTTGAGCCTTTGGCTGATCATAGCTACTTATTCGTTAAGTTTATATGTCAAACTTATGCTTGCTCTCTGATACATATGAAAAGAAAAACAAAAGCAGATTTTTGGCTCACTGACTTTCTTTAAATAATTTTTTTAAGTTGTAGACCAAGAAAATCTAAAACTATGTGATTCCACTTCAAGTTTCATCTCCTCCAGGAGCGGGATTCATCTTCATCTTCATCTTCATCATCGTCATCTTCTGGTAAAAATAAATCTGAGGTTTCAGTTTCCTGAACAAAGAGAACATACAATACAAAATGTGATTATTACAGCAGATGACATCCAAAGATTCAGTGCATTTTAGCTACATGAAGTATAAGACCACGCAGAGAAAACAGCAGAACATGGAGATCCAATGGTGAAGCATGGGAGATTTTTAATGTTGTAAAATGGACTGTAAATCTCATATTCTTGCAGATTTTGTTTGGGGAGTTGTACTGATTGTAATTTTTTTGCCATATATATATATGTTGCGAGGGGAGAGAGAAAGAAATAGAGATGCTTTCCCTCTTTCATTAATTTTTTTATTTGCTATTTGGTTAATTTATTGTGTATTTATTCTATTAAACTTCCATATTTTGGTGAATTTTTACGAACGGTTTGTATTGCTGTTTGCTTTTGTGTATGCCAGGCAGCTATCTAACTCCTTTCCTTGTCTTTTTTTCTATTGCGCTGCTCAGACCTAAAGGGTCTCTGTTGTGCTAGGTGGGTGGCACTGCAACCAAACTCATACTATTTTTTCTAGTTGTTTGGTGGTTTATTGTTTTTTGAATTGGTTAGTGGGTGACCAAGGTATTTTTTTGCTCTGCGTTTAGGACTGGTGGCATATTTTGGCTGGAAAAGCATCTCTGTATGGCCTCACATGGGGGTGGGTGGGGTGCAGGTACACTGCCACAGGCTTTCTTTCTCTCCAAATGAGTTCCTGCATAGGTCTGATGATGCTTTTTTTTCATGTACTGTTGCCTGCTTTTCTAGTAGACCAATTCCCTGCTGCCTTCTTTCCCTGCTCTTTTGGAGTAGCTTTGAAAGAGTATGTAAGGCTTTTGAAGGGCTAGA